AGCTCTTCAGCTCAAGGCTAGCACTCTACCACTTGAGCCACAGCGCCACTTCTGGCTTTTTCTGCTTATGTGGTGCTGAGGAATCGAACCCAGGGCTCATGCATACAAGGCAAGCACTCTACCACTAAGCCACCTTCCCAGCCCTCGATGAGATTCTTAGCTCCAAATAGGCACCATAAAACTGGAAGTAGAGCTGTGACTCAAAGTGGTAGAGTGCTAGTCTTGAGCAGAAAAACTCAAGGACAACACTTAGAGCCTGAGTTCAAGCCCCATGACCAACATTGTGGTACCTATTATCCAACCTTCCTCTTCCCCCATAATTTGCCTTTGAGGTTTAGATAAAAGACCTCAGGCTTTGCTATTAAAAGGTAAAGGAGAGCTGGAAATGTGGCTTAATGGTAGAGTGCTTGCCTAACATGCATGAAGCTCTGGATTTGATTCCTCAGTACCACATAAACAGAAAAAGCCAGATGTGTCACCGTGACTCAAGTAAACAAAAGAAGCTCATAAAAAGTCTTCAGGCCCTGAGTTCAAGCCCCAGGACTGGCAAAAACAAACTGAAACAACAAAAAAAAATGTTAAGAAGACAAGGAGATTAGACAGAATCCCAATGAAGAGACATATTAATAATCATGTATCCAAAGATCACTAGCTAGTGAACTGAATGGAGGACTTGTATTGGGACATGTCCAATGCCATCGATGATGGCACCCCCAAGGCTGCAGCCTCAAGGGAAAAGGTTCTGTTTCCAAGTGTCTTCCACCTTCCATACTAATCAGGTGATACAATAAATGTTGGACAGCAACATAATTAAAGATTGGAATTCCTATTTAGACTATTATTTAAGTACAATATCACTAAGTCATATGATTTCACAGCCATTACTTATAAAGACTGTGCTTTTATAGTATTTCATAACTAAAAAATGAAAAAAGTTAATTTAATAAGTTCCATTTTTTCTACTTGGCATTATGAAAATGATATCATATGATAAAACAATTTATTACTTTAGCTGTCATAGGCCAATGATAAAAGGAGAAAGGCTGCTGAGTAGCATGTGAATATCCTCTCATACCAAATGAAACCTGCATTACATCACAGCAGACAATCTGGCATGATTCATAGTGGTTGGTTCTAATATTTCAAGTCCAATAAAAACTAGATGCTTAAAAAGAAAACAATTAATGTCAGTCAACTTTTAATGAGGTGAATGAGACAGTTGTTTTCCCTTCTTTCCTTTAACAATCTTAATAGAAAGTACCAGACCAGTTTTTCAATATCTGCAATAATTGAACTTGAAGTCCAGATATTATTTCCTGTTCCCAGGTCCAGCAATAATTGGTTTAGATACTTATGTAATGCAGATTGCAGTAACACTAACTTAACTACAATGGGAACAAGACAGTTTATGAAGATACCAAGTCACATCTCATTAAGTTGACATTACAGGAACACTGTATGGGCACATTTTTGTGCATTATTAAGCCTAATTATCCTGAATAAAGAAAGCCTTGGAATTATACTAATTTTGTATTTTTGGTGTGACAAGCATATCTGAACAGTTACATTCTGCATGTATTAATTTTAAAACTAAAATATACAAGAGATTAAAGACTCTAAACTGGGGATATAGTTTTCTACTTTTTCCATATGTATACATATACATATATAGTTTGTGTGTATGTATGTGTGTGTGTGTGTGTGCGTGCCCACACGCGCGCATGTGTATTGGTCCTAGGGCTTGAACTTAGGGCCTGGGTGCTGACCCTGAGCTTTTTTGCTCAAGACTAGTGCTCAATCACTTGAGCCACAGTCCCACTTTTGGCTTTTTGGTGGTTAATTGGAGATAGGAGTCTCATGGTCTTTTCTGTCTAAGCTGTCCTTGAACAGTGATCTTCAGATCTCAACCTCTCAAGATACTAGGATTACAGATGTGAGCCACTGGCACCTAGTTACCATGATTATATTTTAGCAAAGCAATACCAGTTAATATTACTGTTGTTAATATAAGTTGTCTGGACTTTATGGCTAGTTAATTTTAAATGTATCCTGATTTTCTATATAAGTGCTGCAAGCGTAAAGAACTTATAAATAATTTATAAATACAAGTAACATTAGCCAGGCACCGGTGGCTGAGCCCTGTAATCCTAGCTACTCAGAACGTTGAGATCTGAGGATCACAGTTCAAAGCCACCCGGGGCAGGAAAAGTCCCTGAGACTCTTATCTCCAATAAACCACAAAACCGGAAGTGGCACTGTGGCTCAAGTGATAGAGCGCTCACTGAAGAGCTGAGGGACAGCGCCCAGGCCCAGAGACACCAAAAAAAAAAAAAAAGCCAACAAGTCATGAAATTAAAAGCACAGTATGTGCTTTTGTTTTGCTATTTGTTATAGGTTCCCAACATATTCAAAAGTACAAAGAATAATGTAATGGACCCCATAACTCCATCATCTAAATCCATCAGTAAAAAACATTGACGTCAGACATGGGTGGCTCATGTCTGGAATCCTTGCTACACAGGAGGCTGAGACTCCAGTTCCAAGCCAGGGCAGGAAGCTCTGTGAGACTCTTATCTCCAATGAATCACCAAACAGCCAGAAGTGAAGCTGTGGCTCAAGTGGCACAGGCCGACTCCCGCCACGGGAGGCGGATCCTAGCCTGCCAGAACGGAAGTTCCTGAGCCTTCGAACCCTCGGGGAAGCAATTCTGTAACGGACCAAGATGGCGGCGCCCAGCGAGGAGACGCCGTTTGCCGCGGGAATTGAAAAGAATTGGGGTACAGTCGTTCGTTCCCCTGAAGGGACCCCCCAGAAAGTTCGGCAGCTAATAGACGAGGGGATTGCCCCGGAAGATGGGAGCGCAGAAGCGTGAGTTTTTCAGTCCTTGCCTGCGTCCGGCGCCGAACGATAGGCCTAAAGTGGGGGCGGGAGGGGATCTTCTCTTCATCCGCGAGTTCGTCTGTGGAGATTAATTGTTCTTACACGCGGAGGGAGGCTGGGGTTACCAGGATTGGTCGAATGCAGGGTCTTGTCAGAAGACTTCGGAAGGAAAAAAGGGCTACAGCTAACCGAATGAGCGCGCCTGACACTCTTAGCTGGCGTTCTAAAGAACGTTTCTGTGGTACCCATTTGACACTCTGGTGGGGGAAGCTTAGGAACTTCTTTTCCAGAAAAAAAAAGGCTTTAAATGCATAAAAACAGATAACTTGAGATCAAATTAAACACGTTTATGTTGGAATGTAGTTCTCAAGAATTTATTCCTAGATGGGCTGGGAAGGTGGCTCAGTGGTAGAGCGCTTGCCTTGCTTGCATGCATGAGGCCGTGGGTTCGATTCCTCAGCACCACATAAGCAAAAAGAAAAAAGCCGGAAGTGGCGCTGTGGCTCAAGTGGTAGAGCGC